TGGTTTTGGGTTTTGTGTGTTTGTCTTGGGCAGAGGGTGGCTTGGTGTGTTTGTTGTTGTTTTTTGTTAGTTTTGGTTTTTTTTTAGCACTTCCTTACTCTGGCACTACAAGATATTTCAGACTTATCTTGTATGTTTTCTTCCCCAGATCTAGAAATAGCCATTTCCCCAAGAAGTTTTTGTTCCTTTTATTGGATAATGATACTAGAAACCAAAATCTGGGGACTAGATGTGCACTTTACAACTTGCGTGTTGTTGCCTGGCTGGTGTTGCTCAGTGGTTGAGCATCGACCTATGAACCAAGAGATCACAGTCCGATTCCCAGTCAGGGCACATGCCCAGGTTTGGGCTCGATCCCCAGTAGGGGGCATGCAGGAGGCAGCCTATCAATGACTCTCTTATCATTGATGTTTATGTCTCTCCCTCTCCCTTCCTCTCTCTGAAATCAATAGAAACATTTTTCTAAAAAAAAATTAGGGTGTTGTTATTTTTAGTCCCTCTTAACTGATAAAGCAAAGAAATATATATGTGTGTACTAAAGAGTGTGTATATATATATTTATGGATATTCCTATATGTAACCATCGATATCTGTCTAGGTTAAGCTAAACATGAGTTCATACTAATGTCTCCAACTCTAATCCATTGCCACATGGATTTTCAGCTTGTTTGCCTGTAACCTCCCACTCTAACAGTAACTTAGCTCCCACCATCCATTTGTTTGTTTGATTCCAGTATACATGGATAGTGGTTTCAGAATTGTTAACCTGTTATCTGTGGGAAACAACTTCATCAACTAGAATACAGTGCTATGTACAGTTCTTTTCAGCTTGTTTGCCTGTAACCTCCCACTCTAACAGTGAGTAACTTAGCTCCCACCATCCATTTGTTTGTTTGATTCCAGTATACATGGATAGTGGTTTCAGAATTGTTAACCTGTTATCTGTGGGAAACAACTTCATCAACTAGAATACAGTGCTATGTACAGTTCTTTTTGTCTTTAATCTTACAGACTCCACTATTTCCAAAATTATTTAGGTGAGCATCTTTCCTCCACTCCCTTCACAGAGGTTTCATCCATTTGTACTACAGTTGGATTCATATGTCACATTTTGCATTTCATCCTGGGATCCTTGACATGCTAAAATTTGCATATGTTAAGGTTTATTCTTTGTGCTGTAAAGTTCTGTGAATTTTGACAAATGCATAGTATCATGTATCCACCATTACAGTGTTATGTAGAATAGTTTTACAGCCTTAAAAAAAAATCCCCCGTGCTTCACTATTTGACCTCCTCCCCCTCTCCCCCAATCCCTGACAACCACCATAGTTTTGCCTTTTCCACAGTGTCATTTGTTTGGAATCAAGCAGGATGTAGACTTTTCAGGCTGGCTTTCATTTAACAGAATGTATTTAAGATCCATCCATGTCTGCATGGCTTTATAGCTCATTCCTTTTTGTTGTGGAATAGTATTTTGTTGTATTGGATATACCACAGTTTGTTTATCCATTCACCTATTGAGGGACATCTTGGTTATATCCAGTTTCTAGAGATTCTGAATAAAGCTGCTACAAAGATTTATGTGATGGTTTTTGTGTGGATATAAGTTTTCTTTTTCTTTTTTAAATATATCTTTGTTGATTTCAAAGAGAGGAAGGGAGAGGGAAAGAGAGAGAGAAACATCAATTATGAGAGAGTCATTGATCAGCTGCCTCCTGTATGCCTCCTACTGGGGATTGAGCCTACAACCCAGGCATGTGCCCTGACTGGGAATTGGACCTCGATCTCCTGGATCATAGGTCAGTGCTCAACCCCTGAGCCACACCAGCTGGGCTCAAATCTGTTGAATTATATACCTAGGAAGATGACTGCCGGATCACATGGTAAGAGTATGTTTAGCTTTGTAAGAAACTGTCAAACTGTCTTCCAAAGTGGCTGTATCACTTTGCTTTTCCGTCAGCAATAAATAAGAATTCCTGTTGCTCCACATTCTTGCCAGCAATTCGTATTGTTAATTTTAGCCATATTGATATGTGTGTTGTGATATCTTGTTATAATTTGTGATAGCATTTTTAAATCCTTATGTCCTCAACATTAAGCATAGTAATAATAAGCCCTTTATTTATTATTTACTTACATTGAAAGAATGAATGGGTGAAATAATTTTGTTGAATTACTGAATGACTTGAATGATCACTAGGTTTCTTCTCTTTGAGAGTGATACTTCTAGGCTCTGACAACATGTTTCCCACACACAGAAATCTGTTGTGTTTACTGTTGAGTACTACATTTTCAGGGGCTTTTCGATCACATTGAGTGCTTTGAAACCTCTGTTCATCAGTATCTCAGGCATCCAAAACATCCCATTTCACAAACATGCAGGTTGATTAGTATTTTACTGTTTCTTTTTTTTCTTTTTTCTTTTTCTTTTCTTTTTTTAGAGAGAGAGAAGAATGGGGGAGAGAGAGAAACATCGATTTGTTGTTCCAGTTACTTATGCATTTATTGGTTGATTTTTGTATGTGCCCAAACCAGGGATTGAGCCCGCAACCTTGGCATATTGGGACGATGCTCTAACCAACTGAGCTACCCTGCCAGGGCTTTACTGTTTCTTTAAGATCAGAATTAAAGATCAAATACTATGCTCTATTCCTGCTGTGTTCAGACCTGTGCCAGTGAGGTTGGCGCTTAGAGAGGCTTGAGGCAGACAGAATATGCTAAGTTATGGAATAAAACAAACAATCAGCAGTTTCAGCCTTAGAGCCCAAGTTCTAGAGCAGAACTCCCCAGCTGGCATATGGGTCAATGGGCTGCAAGTGGCAAGACCCTGATCCCCTTGGCCTTCAGGGTGGAGACTGAGTGCTCAAGACTGTGGACCAGTTGCCCCAAGTGCCATAGAAGAATTGTCTTTCCCATGCATGCCTTGACATGAGAGAGCTTATGGAGTACCGTCCTGAGTCCAGGGGGCTCTTGATCCCTGGTTTTTGATCCCTCTCTGGTTTTTCCCTCAGTCTCTCCATAGTATGCTAGCTTGCTTGTGTGTGTGCGGGGGGGGGGAGTAAAATACATACAACATAAAATTTATCATCTTAACCATTTTAAGTGCATGGTTCATTGGTATTGAATACATTCAAATCAGTATGCTACCATTTCCACCATCAATCTCCATAACTCTTTTCATCTTATAAAACGGAAACTATACCTATTAAACAATAACTCCCATTCTCCCTCTCCCAGTCCCCAGCAACCACATTTTACTTTCTGTCTCTATGATTTTGACTATTCAAAATACCTCATATAAGAGGAATCATAGAATTTTTGTCTTTTTATGACTAGCCTGTTTCACTTAGCATGATGTCTTCAAGATTCATCCATGTTGTAGCATGTGTTAGAATTTCTTTCCTTTTTAAGGCTGAATAATATTCTGTTGTATGGCTAGACCACATTTTGCTTATCCAGTATACCCACCTCACTGCTGCCTCCACCTGTTTTTCTTTTTCCTGAGTTTCCTTTTGCATTTCTGCAGACAAGATTAGAGGCTAGAGAGTCAAATAGTCCATGTCTGAATCCTAGGTCCTTGTTTTACTGATTATGAAACCTTCATAGAAAATTACTTAACTTCTCTGAGTTTTATTCCTCATCTGTAAAATGGATATATATATGGTAGTGGTACTTAAAAGTAAAAGAAGACACTAAAGAATTAGCACAGTTCCTGGCACATAATAGGTGTTCAGCAAATATTAGCTATTAAAACATGCTCACCATTTGTACTTTGGAAAATTCTCATTGTTTTTGGCATGAGGTTGAGAAGTAAGGTATATTCTAAATTTATTAAATTAAATCTTAGGGATAATTTCAACTCATTGCCATGAGTATTTTTAAGTGTCTCATCCTAGGGTTTGAGGTGATTTTTAGACTTTACTGTGCCTGGGCACCTCAAGGCCTCCTGCCTTGAAGCTCTTTGTCTGGCCCTGTAATGACAGCAGGAGCAAATCTCTGGGTGCCTGTGAGCTCTGGGGGTGCTGGAGTTCCTGCACATTTGCAGGGAGGAAGCCTATTGATGAGTCCACTGTGCCTGCTAGTGGCTACCTGGGCTGGACTGTGAGCTGGAGGACTGGTGCTGCCTCTGAGAGCTCTGGCTCTGCCTTGTTCCAGCTCTCACCCACTCCTCTGCTCCCAAAAAAAGGGAGGGGGAAGAGTTGGGAACACGTTGTCTTTGTGTTCTGCTTTTGGCCAGCTCAGTGGCACTGTGGTTGCTGGCAGTCATGTCAAGGAAAACACTGGAATTCAGAGCTGCATGTGGAGTGTTGTGAGAGGGTTTCTAGGTCTGTGGGAAGAGCCCTCTGCTACACAGTTTTTGAAAATCCTTTTGTGGCCCTGGCAGGTGTGGCTCAATTGTCATCCTGTGCATTGAAAGGTTGCAGGTTCAGTTCCTGGTCAGGGCACATGCCTGGGTTTCAGGCTTGATCCCCAGTAGAAGGGGTGCAGGAGGCAGCCGATTGATATTTCTCACATCGATGTTTCTCCCTGCCCCTTCTCCCTAAAATCAATTTTAAAAAAATTTTTTAAGCCTCTGATCATTTTAGGGGGAAAAAATCCTCTTGCAGACTGCAGTGTGAGAGCTTGAGACATCAGCAGCAATATTGTCAGCATTAAATGTTAAAGGTCTGGTTGGAAACGTTGCCCTGCCAAAGTGGTGGTGAAGACCATATAAAAACAGTGAGGCTCTATTTATGTGACATCAGGCTCTTGTGTGTGCTGGATCTCTTTAATAAGGATGAGATCTACCTGCCAGCAGTGGTAGATCAGTTCTGTGACAGACCCTTTATACTGGGCAATGGCATTGAGGACTCATGGATGTGAGGACCTCCTCTGGCTCCTCACTTGTCTGTCCAGGAACAAGAAGTTCCTAATGTTTCCACAGCACTTCTTTTTCTAAAGCATCCTGGATTATCTGAGTGAATTTGGACATCTCTAATCCAAATGTTGTGTGATTACAGGATCCATTCAGTCCCAAGAGCATCGGTCCAGTAGCTCTGAGGAGACATCTGGAACAGAGGAGGAGAAAGAGGAAGAGCCCAGCTTCATCATGGGGCGATGACAGTGTTGGCCACAGTGGCTTTCTGGAGCCCATGGCTTCAGAAAACCCTCCACATGACCCAAGGAGAAAGGAGGCTGTTTGAACTCAATTTCTCTCCCAAGGCCTCACAGGATAGAAGCAAGTGGGAAGCCATCCTGACTACTCGTGGCCCTGCCAATAGGCAGGACTCAGCCTATGGGACAGAGAGCCCTGTTTCCTGCACACTCAAGGGCACTGCCCAGCAGAGTTCATTAACGTTCCCGCTAAAGGGGGGAAATGTATAACCACTGCCCCTGCTGCTTGTTCTCATATATTTGGACAGTGATGAGTTTTGGGCTGGTTTCTGTGAAAGTAGTGTTTATTTAGTAAAGAACAGAAAAACTTTAGGTTTTGTTTGGACCTGTGAAATGTCAAAGCTGTAGGGAAGGCTGTGAAAATGAGGTGATAGGGATGAGGCCTATTACACGGGCCTATTCCCAGACTCAATGAGGGAAATGGCCTTGGTTCTGGAGCTGACTCACACTGCAGGGTACCTGACCTCCATTTCCTTCAGCTGAGGGTGCAGACTGCACCTCCTGCTCAGTAGCTCCCAGTACACAGGTGTGTTGTGGGAACCCTTGGGCATGTGCAAAGGGAGCTGTGGGACATAACCAGGGAAAATAATTGGAGATTAGATAAAGAAGCAGGTGGACAATCCAGGCTGGGCTGAACCAGAGAAGAGGGCATGGGGAATCCTAGCCAAACTAGTATTGATTTCCCTGGCCCTGCCCTGAGCCAGGTGACATTTGTGGTCACTTCTGCCCTTTAAGCAGTTCAAGTCACAGGAATTTTTTTTTTTATAGGTCCCTGTTTTATTGCAGTACATCAAAGTCTGGTTAATATTAAGTGATTCACAGGAATTTTTTTTCCCCAGGAAGCTGAAATGGAAAGTCAACCCTAATAAATTAACACACACGCCCTGGCTGTACATTTTGAAACCCATATTTCTCTTTGGCCAGTTAGATTGTGTTTGGCGGGTTAGATTGTGTTTTGTTTTTGTTCCCCTGTCTTTAATCTATTGGTTTCCTTATTTACCTCCAGAATGTGTGTCACAACTCTTGCTTTGAGTCCTGCCTGGATCTGGAGGGTGTTATCTTTCACTGGAGACTGTGGAGGGTGTCAGAGCTCAGAGCTGGAATACTTGGGTTTGAGCCCTGCCCTGCCTCTGATGAGATGGGGAACTCTGGGCAAGTCACTTCCTGCCTCTGTCTGATGTACCTGACAGAGAGCTTAGTGATCTGTGTGTGGGACAGGTGGGCAGAAGACTAAACAAATAGGATACTAGGTGGAGCGTGTATGTTTTACACCTTTACTAGATTTCAGAAGATGATGTTTAGGTAGGAAACATCCTGTAGCAGTTTCTAACAGTTTTTAAGGGGTCATCTATACCTTAGGTTAATGACTCAGTCTGTCTTCTTCAGGGTATTGTTTATTTGGGAAAGGGGAACAATTAGATGTCATCCTTGAGAAGGGAGTGGGTAATACTGAGAAGACACCCCCCCCTCAAAGAAGCCATGATTGAGGAGAATCAATAATGCCCTTAACTTGTGGGTGGGAAGAAATTAAACGTCAAAGGTATACGTAACTTGGTTGTCTCAGGAAACCTCATGAATAAGAATTCTGATTTATCAGATACTAGGCCTTCATTCACTCACTCGCTCACCAAACATTGATTGCTCAGTGGCAGTCCTGTGCTAGGCCTAATTATTTGTATTAGAATACTGTTTGCCCTATAATTAGATGTCCCATATAGATTTACCAAACAAGATTTATAAACACAGAGCGGTCTGGAAACTTGCGCAGGTCACCCAGCAAATAAGTGGTAGTAGAGGTCGCCTTTGGACACACGTAATGTGACTCCAGAATCCATCATGCTAGCCCTTACACTGTAGTGCTGTGTTGCTCTGGGGAAGAAGCTGTGCATAGCCCAGACCTGGTGGGGAGGGGTTCCCAAGGGCTGTTCTTTTGGTGCCGGGACTGTAGGCTATAGGCCCCTCTACTAGGCCCCCTGGCGCATTTGTGTGTGTGTGCATAATAATATAGTCAGAATATGTCACAAGTTCTGTGTTTATGAATTCACTAAAATTTATTTGTTATCCCAAAATTAATACTTGTGCTTTTGCGGTCATTTACCAACATGCACAGAGTGGCAAAAATTTGCATTGCCTGATACACATATTCCCAATTGAGGTTAAACAAGGCAGTGCTCTGCCTTCTTGTTTCAGCTCAAACATATGTACTGGCAGGTTTTTTGCACTTATTGCTTATTGTTGGTGGTTTCTGTTTAAAATGGCCCCCAAATGTAGTGCTGAAGTGCATCTAGTGTTCATAATGTCACCTTGCTGACCAAGGGGACAACTGATGCATCAGGGGACTGGACACGTTCACACCAGCTGTGTGGCCATGCTGGATAAGATCTGAGGTGGAGAGGATAGCAGGAGCCACAGACTTCACTGAATGAGGGTCATCTGTTGAAGAAGACTAGCAGATGGTTGACCCCAGGGGTATGCCTCTAGAATTGATCTTTTTCCAAGGGGGGTAGCTTAGGCCTTGGGGGAGGAAGTGACTTGCTAAGGTCAACCAACTAGGAAAATAGCCCAAACTGTAGCTCAGACATCTGCTGGTACTTGTGGGCCTTTACCTGAACCTCCTAACCCCTCCATGTAATTCCCACTCAACTACCTGGGCACTGAAGGAGCCCTCCAACCATTAGTACTGTGATCATTCAGTCTCATTTCATCATGGTGCCTCATCTTCCTCAATCTTCTGGGAGTTGGGGAAAAACCATTTTCTGTGTTTGGTAGGAAACTAGCTCTGAAAAGCACTAATTGTGACACATTTTGCTCCTGTCCAGGCAAGCTGGATAAATGTGCTTGGAGTGGAGGCATCGCTGACTAGCATAGGAAGCTTTGTAAAGGATGTGCACTCAGGCTTCAAGGCTGAGAACTCAGCAAGCAAATGACTCAGTTGCTGAAAGAATGCTCATTGATGGCACAACTACCATAGTTAAGTGTTTTTCTTCCTGTTTTCCAGGTCATTTTATGAAGAGCTTTGAGGTTTGAAAGCCACAGTATAGTTGCTTTCTGAGGATTTTGACCCCTGAAATTCAAATGATCCCTTTCCTATAGCCATGGAGGCAGGGCAGTAACCGGACCCTAGGATTTTCCTATAACCTTCGTTAGGGCAGTAACCAGAGGGGGAACTGGCTTGATCTGTTTTGTAAGTGTCCTCTGGATCAAAAGGTATCATTTTTGGATAAGTGTGTCACGGTTCAGTGCTGTGTGACAGATGGAAAAATCCTATGTAGGGCATGCATGCAGGAAGGATTCTGAGGCCGTCTGGCACGGCAGGCTGATATGAACCCATCTCCCCCGAAGTGAATCGTTCATGCGCACTTCCTGAAAAGAACGTTCCTGTTTGAATATCTCGGTTGTAAAGGGGGAAGAGTTCACCACTGCCGGTGAGAGGTTCCCTGCTGCAGCGGATGGAAGGGGCTGGGGCACCGCAGAGATATTTTCACCCCAGGTGCCTTGCAGTCTGAGAACACTAGATCAGCTCTCCGCGCCGGTCAAGGGTTAGAAATCCTGGGCGTGCCACACCCAGGTTAGGTCCCCGCGGGTTTCACAGGGCCTGGGGGGGAGGGGGCGATTTGGGTGACCAGCTCCAGCTCGCGATGTGCGTATGCCACCGTCCACTCATGCAAATTCGCGCGTGGCTGCTTAGGCTCTTCCCAAAGTCTGACCTTCCACCGGTTTCCCCCACTCCCGTCTTCCCTGTAGTCAGGTAAGGGGATCTCTGTTCCTTCTCTTTTCAGGGTGCGCCCTTTTGGCCTCTCCATACAACCAGTATCGGTCCTGGGTATCCTCCGGGATTCACCTGGAAACCCTGTGGTCCCATTCTGCGCTTAGACCCACACACCTCGGGTCGGGCAGGCCCCACGCTGCCCTGGACTTAGTGGCTAGTCTTAGCGTGAGACACCGCAGCCTCATTGGCCTGTGAATGGGCCTCAGGGCAGCCTGGCAGCGGGCCAGAGGGCGGGAGAGTGTGGGATGGCTGGGCTTCCGGCTGGCTTGGCCGCTCTGCGCCAGTCCTTCTCCACTGCTACCCGAGGTACGCCGGGGGACAGGAAAGATGCTCACCCTTGGAAGGTTTTGGCGCCTGGGCGGGAACAGGTCCACCCGGCAGGGCTCACTGGACCCCCAAGGCGGGGCCGCGAGCCCTTCCCCTCCGGGCCCACCGGTCACGTGTCTTGCCGCGCCCCCGAGGGCGGGTCACGTGACGCTAGCGCTCCGTTGCCCGGCAGCGGCTGCGGCTGGCTGGCGGGGGCGGGACAGCCGGCAGAGGCGGGGCAGAGGGGGACCCTGCGGACCTGCGGAAGGAGGGAGGGGGCCGCGCTCTGCGCCCTGGCCGGGCCACGGGGCCACAGGGCCAAGCCTGAGGCGCTGCCAGCCGGGAGCCTGAACGGGAGCCGAACTGGAGCCGATCCAGCAGGACTGGCAGAGCAGCTCGGTGAGTGCGCGTCGCTGGGGGTCTGGAGGAGGCAGCCGGGCCCCTGCCCGTCTGCGGGCCGAATTGCACCGGGAGACTGTACAAGGGAGGGGATGGGCTTTCTCCTGGGCAGTCTCGGAATGGGACAGCTGCTGGGTGAGGGTCGGCCAGGTGACCCCAACCCCGCAGGATCCCCGAGTGGGGATCCCCGGGCGGGTTGCGGCGCCGAGAGGACGGGGAAGTCCGGGGTGCTGGCGGAGTCCGGCTTGTAGCCTCTGGCCCTTTCCTGGGGGTAGGACAGAGATGCAGATGGACGCCTCTGAAAGATCCCTTTGGGGGCTGCTGGTCCCCCGTCCCACGCGGGTGTGACAAAGAGAATGAGAAACGACATGTCTGCCGGGCACTCACCATTGCGCTCGCCCTAGGTGCTTGCTTAAAGGAAGTTGACTGGCAAACCCCAAACCCACCCCCTGGATGGGTTTCAAACAGGTCTGCCAAGGGGGTAGCTAATCTAGAGAGAGTCCCCGTTAGTCTACCAGACCTTTCTCTGACTTCCCTTATATAGAAACAAACAAAAACTCTTCAAGATTCAGCTGGGCAAGCATCCTTTGGAGCGTCTGCTACCTGACTGAAATGTGGGGCTCCATCTTCCCCCACCCTATCCCCTGCCTGAGTTGAGTGTGAGGACCAGACTCTGCCCCTCCTTGGACCCGGCACACCTGCCATAAGGGAGGACGGTGGGGCTGGCAGGGATAGGATGAATTTGAATCAGGTCTGGGCTGCTCCCTTTGCAGGAAGTGGCTTCTCTTTCTTCAGGCTCCAAGCAGACAGACAGCTCTTCCTTCCCACCCCTGCCACTGTGAGGATGTTTACAGGGCCGCTGGGACTGCCCTGACCACTCCCAGAAGGCCACAGTCAAACCTCACTGCCCGGAAAGCTCTCCATCTCCACTCTGGAACTTGAGCCCAGTCCCTGCTCACTGATGGCCCCAGGGCTTCCCTGTTTTTCACCCCATATGTACCTTTGTGGTTTTGGAGGCCACCAGGCCCTTCTGCCATTTCATTGGGCACACACACCAGGCTGACCCCAGATTGCTTCCCTCATTAACTTCTTCCATGACCTACACTGTGCACTGTCAGAGAAAGCCTAGCAGTGTACTGCCTGGGCTGCCCTGAGCTCCAGTACTCCCTGCCTCCTGTCCCCCAGCCATCTCCTTGACCCTCCCCTCTGCAGCCAGCCTTTCTGCCATGATTCCCTGCCTCTCAGGGCCCTCCCACATGGGCAGTATCTTGTCTTTGAGGGAGAGTCCCTCTTCGCCAGTATCGCCTTCACTACCTTTCCTTATCCCCTATCCTTGCTCCCTAGAAGGGACCTTCTCCCTGCCCAGAGCTGAGGCAGCCAGCACCTCGTCTGCTCCCTTGGCCCTCACACCCCCCTCCACTAAAGCATTTAGCTCATTGGATAAGAATCACTCTATTATCTTGCTCCCCCACTGGGCACAGGAACTCACAGGATCCTCACCTTTTTCATCGTTGATGCCTAAATACCAAATGCTGTCTTACTTTAGGGCCCAGTAAGCATCTCTGTGCAGGATGTTGGATGGAGAGACAGATACTCTGAGGGGGCAAAGGTTGTGCCTTTCCTTTTATTATTATTATTATTATTATTATTATTATTATTATTGGTTTAAGATAGGAGGAGAGAGGGATAGGTAGAAACATCGATGAGAGAAACATCAATTGGCTGCCTCCTGCATGCCTCTTACTGGGGATTCAGCCCACAATCTGGGCATGTGCCCTGACCGTTAATTGAACTGGGGACCTCTTGGTTCATGGGTGGATGCTCAACCACTGAGCCATACCGGCCAGGCAAGGTTTTCCTTTCATGCCTCCACATGCAGTAAACTGTCTTTATCATACCTGGGGGCCCACTTCTGTTACATATGGGAAGATGAAATAAAAAGTGCATTTCCAAATAATGCCATTCTGAATTATTTAGAGCTAACCAAGGGATTGGTTAGTGAGCAACATTCCTCTGAATTCTCCCTCAGGGAAGGGACTTTCCAGTTATTAAAGTGCTTGAAAGTAGTGTTTCTGGCTGCAAACTGGGCAAGGGGGCAATGACCAAGGCTTCTAAGTAGGCATTCCTAGAAATACCCTAGTAATTTATATCCCTAGCAGAAATAGAAGAGCACAGAACTGTTCCCCAGTGTCCTATTGGCCAGTAAAAGCTGTGCCTCCATAGCGTGGCAATGAACAAAGAAGAGGGCCCCAACACAGCTCTTCCGACTTCCAGGACCTTCTCATAGAACCCTTTTAGAGGTTGGCATGGATGGATCAGGTTTGGGGCATTTCTGCAGCTGCTGACCCTGGTAAACACCCCTGACCCCACCCACCCATCCCCAGCCATGCTCCCAGGGATTCAGAAACCCTGACCTGTTTGTAGTCACCTTAAATAGGCTTTTCATGGGGCCTATCGGGGCCTAAATGTACAAGTTAATATCTGATGTTAACTGAGCTGTGAGGTGCCTGTGCCCTTGAAGCTTGCCCTGCAGATTAATTAGAGCTGATCCCAGCATGCTGCCAAATGGGCCAGCCCCTTGGGCCACATGAGACCACCAATCCCTATTTGGATTAGTGGAGATTTGGGTTTAAATTTACAAATCTCGACAGATCAGTCCTTCTGATCTTCATTCCGTGTTATTGTCACACCAGATGTCTACCTGAAATAACTCCAGGGGTCTCCAGTCTCCACTTCTTCATAAAACATTCTCATGTCAGTTGGTGGATTTAATTTTTCATTTTTTTAAATGTTTCCATTGCAGCCTGGATGTGGCTGTACTTTGGAGATATAGTATTTTGGGTGAACCATACTGCTTAAACCACAGGCTCAGACATTCGGTGTTTGTGCTTGGTTGAAGAGCCAATGGAGCGAAGCTACCATCTGTGGGATTTACTCAGTGCCTCTAAGTGAATCCCGCCCAGGCAGAATGATAGGCAGCTCCTTTGAGCCTTGGTTGCCCTTGGATAGCCGGTCACCCAGCAGCCACATGGGCACTCTGCTGCTGTGGGGATAGGGTCTGGTGGGGAGACCCTCTCCTCTGAGGAAAGTGGGCTGTCTTCTTGCCTGTCATGCAATGGACGTTGCACATTTATGGGGAACCTGGTGCTAAACCATTCATAGACAACCTTCTGGATGGGAGTTTCATATGTAGCAGAGCAGCTCTCGCTTCGGTCTGCTGAAAGTCAGCCCTCTGCATCAGGGTTTATAAAAAAAGAAAAAAGAAAGGAAAAAAAAATTAAGTTGGATTTGAGAAATTAGCAGCTGCTTGGAAAGGTGTATTGCATGGTTGACACCTGGACATTGAAAAGAGTTCTGAATCTACAGGTCCATTATCTTGTGTAAGAGCCCTGTAGGGTGGGGATGTCCTCATTTGAAGAGGAGGAAGGTCAGCAAGTTCAGGTGTCATGTTCAGCATCACACAGGTCAAATTTAGACTTGGTAACTTGAGGTCCTAGGGTCTTTATAAATGCTACAGCTCCCTACTCCCTGAAGATGGGTTCAAATGGGAGGATTGTCTTAGGTGCTCTTGGCCAACCTTGGAATTCCATTCACCAAAGAGCCACACTCAACTGGAACGCTTCTGAGCTTGGGATGGAGGAATTGCAGAGGAACAATGTTGGACACTGTGGTGGTTCTTGGAAATGGAGTCCTGACCCTCCTCTCCTATAGATGGTCCACATGTTCCTGTGTGGGGACTGCATCAGAGACCAGGGCTCCCCACTCACACACCCCTGGCCCCCATGGCTCTAGTGTAGGGTGTATACAGTGGGCCCAGAGAAGATTAACTAGGTTTGGATTCTGGCTTTTCCAGGCCCCAGGAACCCTTTGGAATGCCTGAGTGTGTCTCTTTTTTGCCCCAAGCCTGGCTCCCATCATGAGTGCTGAGCTCAATGTGCCTGTGGACCCCTCCACCCCCGTCTGCTCTGAGCCTGGCCACAAGGGCATGGATTACCGGGACTGGGTCCGCCGCAGCTACCTGGAACTGGTCACCTCCAACCACCACTCCGTTCAGGCCCTCTCCTGGAGGAAGCTCTACCTGAGCAGGGCCAAACTGAAAGCCTCTAGCCGCACCTCTGCCCTCCTCTCAGGCTTTGCCATGGTGAGTGCAAACACTTGGTGGGAACATAGCCTCCAAAATGGGCTCTGGCTAATCAATATCCTATGATGCTTCAGGAAGCAAAGCACCCCCTCTGGGCCCTACTGGCAGCCAGGATGGACCATTAGGAAGTTTCCCCACATCCCATCTCCTCCAAGGTGATGGTGACTGCTCTGTCAACCAGAGGGATTGCTGGGGAATACAGAGAAGTTCCCATCTCAGAGCCCACAGAAAGAGCTACTCTCACATTCACATAAAGTATTTGCCTGGCAAGGATGTTAGAGTGGTAGTTGAAATAGCTTCAGAGTGTACAGGGTTTCCTGGAGAAAAGTACCCACATCTGCCCATCTCAGGCACCACCCAAGAGTTTAGAAATAAGGACTTGAGCAGGAACTGTGGATTGATTTGGGTTTGTGTAGTGTAGCCCAACCGGGGTGCAGATGCCCCCAAATGTGGCCTCCGTGGTGACTAAGCAGAGCCTCTGGCCCCACTCCCAGCTGCCCACCTGTGGCTTTGCTTCTGAGTCATCCCTCAAGACAAGAGTCCATCTAAGTCAAAACTGAGAGCACTGTTGACTCCAAAGCCCTCAACCCACATCCCTTTAGGGAATTGTCCTGGAGGTGCAGATGTCAGGAGTCAGAACTGCTGGGGCTGGGGCTACCTCTCTCTCTGCTTTATGCTCAGAGGTCCTATTGGGCTGGAAGCAGGGGTTTTTTAATGTAAAAACAGTTGTTTTTCTATAGTCCAGAGCCTCAGTTGTCAAATTGGTGGTGCAGAAAATAAAAAGCTGTCAGAGTGAGCCACTGTGGCCATTCCTCTGACAAGGGCCTGCTTTGTCATCAGTAGGGCCACCATTTTTCCCATCGGTAGGGAAAAATGACACCATACCTGCTCAGGGCATGACTTCATATAGGCCGAGGCAGAGGTCACCAAACTTAAAGGCAATAAATTTGGGTTAGGTCAAGTTTAAAGCAAAGGCTTAATTTGGGTCTTGTGTTTTTGTTTTTTTTAACATAATTACCAAAGTGTACAATCACACAGTATACAACTTTGTCTCAGAGTGATTTTCTTCCTGTGGTGTCTGTCACATTAAAAAGACAATTTTCTCAAGCTTAATTTTAAGGAATGTGTGTGAGAAGTTTAAACGTCACTATTAAGTGGTGTAGAGCTTGTTTTCTACACCACAGAAGAATTATAGTAGTGCATTACATTTTGCTGGCCTGTACTTATTTTTTAACTTTGGAAAATTAACTCAGGGAAATATTACACGACATAATGCAGTGACACAGTTTCCTTTCTGTGTGGGGCCTGGATCTCGGAAATTGCTTCCTGTCTGCAGCTATCTTTTTAGACCCTGGCCTTCCAAACATTTGGATTTCCAAACTTAGGGCAGCTTCCCTGTTTTCCAGCCAACAAAATGCTCATCTAAGTTGAAGGCTTTAAAACCACTCATTCAGAATTTGAAAATTAGCCCTTGAATAAAGTTTTCAAACAGAGTGAATTCTGGAGGAGGAGTCTGAGATGTACTAGCAGCCTTCAAGGGCATGAGTGGTCTTAGGAGGAGAATTGTGGGCCCCAGTGTGCTCTCTGTCAACTTGGCAATGGCAGTCATACTTCCCAGTATTAATTCATTTTTTCAGCATTTATGGAGTATCTCCTGTGTACCAGCAAATGCTTCATTTAGCAGCCTAGGGATACATTTTAGAAGCCACACAAGTGCCCTTGCCTTTTCTTCTAGAAGGTCCCTCTCGGGGAGGCTGCCCCAGCCTAACATGCACCGGAGATTCCACCATAGCAGTGAAAGAGCATGGAGCCAAGTCAAGGGTAGGGAAAACATCAGTGATGCTTGATCAGATTAATAGGCCACCAGTAAATCAGATAACTATTCAGACTGTGGTGCAGCTTGGATGAAACAAGTGACCAATACAGATTGTCAGCATTTTGGCCATGGCCAAACAAGGGCAGGGACATGGAAACATGAAAATAGGCAGTTTGCTAGGTGGAGTCCCCTCTTTATACTATGTATTCCCTAATTAGAATTGCAAAACTGTTCCTTTGTCCAACAGTAAGCACTTAAGCCCAACCTTAAGCTTATTTCTTCATGTTTATCTTTCTAACACAGAGAATCAGTGATCTGAGCCCCCCTCTTAAAATCTTAACATAAAATGAAAAATGACCTTTTAGCTTTTTCTCCTCTGGAGGCGAGTAAAACTGCTTCCTTGTAGACCTTTTAATCATCTTTGTTTCTTATCTCAGTGCCCTCTGTGGTTTACAGCATTGTTTTGTTGGGCCAGAGCCTACCAGGGCCACAGGGGCACTGAGAAAAGACCACCCCTCGACTCCTGTTGGCTACTATCTTTTTGGAGCAGTAATCACTGCTGAGTTTCTGTTCAGGTATGGTCCACTAGGACTGCCATATCTTCTTTTTAACTACCAAATGTTCCATTTCCACTGAGGGGATGAGGTATTCACTCTAAGAGATAGTAGTTGCTAGAAACTGTGAAATCTTAATTTTTAAAAACAGGGATGACTCATATCTAGGAGGCAAACAGAGTGGATGCACAAGCCTTCCCCTGGCTTCTCTCTTTCTGCCTCCCCGCCCCCTTCCTGGTCTGGTTTCTTACCTTTGGGTGCCTGGGAGAAGGCCCTTGGTGAGCCCCAGAGCCCTTGGTGGGCCTGAACTAAACCCTCCACTGGGGAGGTCCACAGTGCTGAGTGCCAGGATGGTGGGGTGGTAGGATGCTGGGCCTCGGAGGGAGCTATTCTGAATGGATGGTGTCTGACCTGGCAGGGGCAGGAGCAATTTGCTCAGTCTGTAGTTTGAAAGCCCTTTAGGGACTGGGGTGAGCATGCACTGCCTAAATGGCTACAGGCATTTACTGCTACAGAGATAAGCTGGGGCTTCTTCTGGTTCCTTCTGTGTATCTTTTTCCCTTTCATTTAAAAAATAATTTTTATTTTATCAGTTATTACATGCACATAGTTTAAAAATTAAGTATAGTTGACCCTTCAACAACATGGGCTTGAACTGCACAAGTTTACTTACACATGGTGGGTGCCCCTAACACTCCTGTGCTGCGCAAGGGTCTACTATACTGCTGAGGGACTTAGAACAACCCCAGCAGACCCATGTTCCCCACTCCCTAGATGCAGCCTCCTGCAGCTTTCTCAGTCTCCATGTTTCCAAGTAACATTTGGAGACTGCTGTTTCTTGATTTATCCATTTTAGACGTTACCTGTTGGCATCCTGTGACTGCGGTTGATGATTCAGCTCTCTTCCCAGCTCAGCCTCCTTCCCACAGCTGCCTCTCCTCACCACTGCCCTCATGTCCATCACCATTCCTGGCCCTCAGATGTATATGCAGGTTTCTCTCTCTGGCTTTGGTGTCAGCTGAGAGATACACCCTGTGGCCTATGTGAGGCTATCTAGGTTTGCAGCTCTGATCTCGGTACCATCAGGAGCCTCCGTTTTTACTTTTTTTACCTTTTGAAAGGTCAGTTTTTATTTTTTAAAAACCACAGGTTTTTTTGCAGCTAAACCACACTTCAGCTTGGCTCTGATATCAACAGCAAAGCCACATGTTCCCAGAGAAGTGTGGCCTCTGCCCTGGCTCATAGCTCAGCACCTCAGATACACCCTATATTCTGTGTTTGGGAAGGTACCCGGAGGGTGACCCTGCCCCATGCTTCTTTAATCTATTCTATACTTTTAGATTTTTTCTCAGTGAGATCTTCTGTAGCTAATCAGAAAAAAGGAAAGTTATAGTTGAGCAGTGAGGAGGGTGTTCCTGTGCTCTGCAAGGGCCTTGACGGTGGTTGCCTTGCCCAGCAGCACCCGCTCTGCCTTGCAGGTGGCCATGGTGGAAGTGCAGCTGGAGACGCAGTACCAGTACCCACCGCCCCTGCTCATCGCCTTCAGTGCCTGCACAACGGTGCTGGTGGCTGTGCACCTCTTCGCCCTACTCATCAGCACGTGCATCCTTCCCAACGTGGAAGCTGTGAGCAATATCCACAACCTCAACTCCATCAGTGAGTCGCCACACGAGCGCATGCACCCCTACATCGAGCTGGCCTGGGGCTTCTCCACTGTGCTCGGCATCCTGCTCTTCCTGGCTGAGGTCGTGCTGCTCTGCTGGATCAAGTTCCTGCCTGTGGACGCACGCCACCAGCCGGGACCTGCACCTGGCCCCGGTGGCCACACAGGCTGGCAGGCCGCTCTAGTGTCCACCATCATCATGGTGCCTGTAGGTCTCATCTTCGTGGTCTTCACCATCCACTTCTACCGCTCACTGGTGCGTCACAAAACCGAGCGGCACAACCGTGAGATCGAGGAGCTGCACAAGCTCAAGGTGCAGCTGGACGGGCATGAGCGCAGCCTACAGGTTGTATAAGGGTGTGGCTCCCCTGAGGCCTGGGAGCCAACAGAAACAGCCTGCTTTTGAGGGAATTTCAAAAATGTAAATTGCCATGAGGCTGCCTAGACACTGCCAGAAGTTCAACACCAAAGTTTTACTCGTCTTACTGCCGTAAAACCTGGATCATTTTCCCTCAGAAGATGGAAATCCTTAAACGAGAGACACTGTTGCTTAGGGCAAAGAAAGGCTGAGTCCTTGGCCCTGGAGAATCCTGAGACAGGAGGCAGGACTCCAGCACTGTGGTCGTCCCAGAGATGTGGACCAAGCAGCCAGCAGTGCAGGGAGCCTGGCGGAGGCCCGGAGAGTCAGGGTAGGGCTGTGAGTTCAGAGGATTGCCCCATGACACTTCAGGTGGGCTGCATGGCAGCTGGGCAGCACATCTGATAGTACCAGCCTGCTGTGATTAGGTGAGGACTGTGGCAATTAGATGGGCACAGGATTACAGCTGGGCCTGGTGCTTCCCTCCCCTGCTCTGGAGGGAGCTGGGTGGCCTGGCTTGTGGGGAAGGCAGGGGCCTGGGGTACACATCAGCCAGCAGGTTTGGAGGGTACTTCGGGATGTGGCAGGGCCTAGGGGAAGACTTCCAAGGGTAGAGGCCTGGCAGGGTCTGGGAAGCCTGTCTGGGGCGGAGTCAGCTGATCCTCTGGGCTGTGGCCACAGAAAGCCAGGGGCACTTGCTCAGGTGGCCCATTTCCCTGCTACCCATGTGCCAGGCAGTGGAAGAGGTAGCTTGGAGGACTTACTGTTCTAGACAAGGCCGTTGGCCTGGCATGGTCTGTGGGTGGTGGCACCAGGGGCCAGCCCTGGCCAAGTGTGGGTCTTGCTTATGACATGGAACCAACTGCAGAGAAGGCACAAACCCACATAGTGCTCCCTCCTGGGCCCCCAGGCCTCTCAGCTGCACTCAGTGCCCCGCTCCCACGTTTACTGCCGTACGTAGCATGGGCTCTGGTGTTTTCACTACAGGCATCAGGTTGCCCTAGCTCGTGTTCTTGGGCTGTTCACATACAGGCTACAGCTCAGCTTACATTATGAGCATGCTATACCCCAAGCTGCTTTTAAAATCGTCTACCACATTGGCTGGCAGCCACCTGGAGGAGGCCATTTCATTTGTTTTCACAAACTTCATTGGACTTCATGCTCCGATGGCATTTCTCTCAACAGCCTAATATAATCTCTCTGTGGGGTCTGGGTTGCCTGTGTCAAAACACCCTGGCTGGCCTGGCTGAGGTTTCTGGGAATGTGACCTACTGGCGAGAACATAAACCTTAACCTGTAACTCTGAAATGCTGACTGGTGACACTTATGGGGAGCCTGGACATGGTGTCCCTCCAGGCCAGAGAAAGCCCTGACATCTTCTAAAGGGCGTGTCCCTTGCATATTCTGCAGACATCTGTTGTGACTTGCTTGCTCTCTAGTGCATGTTTCTTCTTTCCCACAGCCTGCTGAAAAGGCTTATCTGGTTTAATGTGTTTGCTTTGCAAAAGTATGTCAGGACAGCCACTACAGGACAGCCACTTTGTGTCCTGGCAGTGACAAAACAAGCTGCCTCTTCCCCACAGCTGGGAGCAGGCAGCAAGCCCTTACTCTGGCCTAAGCCTTTTGAGAATGGCTATGCTGGGCTCACTCCTGCTGCCACTTTCCTGGGCCATCTTGTACCCCTGCCCCAAATGTGCCAGACCCACAGAGTGCCATGCTCCCCAGACTGGAAAGAACACCCCCAGTGCCAGTGGGGGCCCATTGTTATGCCTTATCCATAGGCAGAGCTTTTGGCCTGGCTGTAACAAGGTCAGATGCAAGGTGCCCAATGAGTACCACAGGAATAGGAAAGATGCCACATACCACGTCTAAACCCTAGAAGAGTAATGTTCTTGTAATTTCTTATTCCCTCATCCAGTGCTTTCCCAGCCCCACCCTTTCTAGAGACATGAGACAAAGAATTTCTGTGGGAACAGAGATGACAGTGAGTCCCAGGACTGCTGAGGGGTGGGGGTGGGGGATGGACCACCTCAGGGTAGTCCTGGAGCTTGTCTGGAGATGGAGGATAAGCTGCTAGTTGGAGCTTCGGGAACTCAGCAAGGCAGTTTAGGGGAGGGGCTGGCAAATTACACGCTAGAAATTTGGGTTCTGGAGGTTTCAGGTGATTGTGGAGTGTCCCAGTCCAGTGGCCTCTGTGTGGTGAGGCACTGTGGGCCTCCCTATTTCCCTCCGAGCAGAGTCTTCCTGGTGCTCATAAAACAAATGCCTGCAAAACTTGAGGCCTGTTCCAAAGTGGAACACAGCCTCCATTTATTACCTGACCAGAAGTTTCAAAACTCAAATGTTTCTATTTTAGAAACTGTGAGGGCAGAACGTATCTTAGTGTCTTCTAGGAGGGTCTGTGGAGGCTAAAACCACAGAAGCCTGAGCGGATGGAGGTTCATCTGCAGTCCTTACCTGTCTCATGCTGATTAGCTCATTATGCATGACGGTGTCAATCACGTATGGTGTGCAAAACCACTGTCCTATGTACGGACTTTTAAAACAGTTGCCCTGGATTGAACTGAATAAACAAACTATACATTGCTCTTTCTGTCTTGGTGGAATGCCATGGGTAGCCCCTTGTCCTTCCCTGGTGTCTGGTGCATCCTGGATCCTCAAGCCCCTCCTGCCTCCTCCTGTTTGCTGACCACCAGCCAGTGTCCTAACAGGCTTCCTAAGTGAGGGACTTCTCTGGAATAGACAAGGCACTTGGACCCAGACATGCCACGAGGCTCCCACCAAGTGGGGCCCCTCTGCCTGCAGCTTCTCTTCCCAATTAGGGCTCTCCCTTTCCAGAAACACAGCAAGGGGCAGCCCCAAGTATAGCTGAGTGCCAACAGAGCCACCTGGACAGGGTCAACTTGAAGTCCTCCAGGAGAGGAGCCACTGAAGCTCTGGTCCCACTGAGCTTTCTCCAACCCCAGGAACCTGTGGGTCTGGGCTGAGGCCAGGTGTCCAGCTGGGCAGCAGTAATGCAGAGCCCTCCCTCAGCCTCGTGGCACTCGTGAGGAAGCTCTCAGACTTTCTGTTTTGTAGCAGTCACCCACTAAGGTAGAGCCTCCCTTCTAGGAAAGAATTTCTGTCCATTATTAATCTTCTGGCACTTCAAGCCAGAGGCTCCTAGGAATTAGGTGTGCAAAGCAGGTGGCACCATTATATGGAAAAGTTATGCCAATACAGGGGGCAAGACTGCCTCTGCAGCCCAGAGGGAGGACTCTCCAGGCCCTGGGGCACCAAAGGCCTGGGCTCAGGACAGAGTTCTAGGCCAGCAAACTGGCCCGTGGACCATTTCCCCAGCGAGGCTAGCGAGCCTGCTGTGGCCAGGCCCTTACATTCCAGCTGACCTGCTGAGAGAGGACTCTTTCTTGACTCAGATGCTTCCAGAAGTTTGAGGGATAGGGTCCACAGGGCCTGGGCAGGGCCCAGCAGGGTGAGATGGAACAGGACTGAGCCTAGACTCCACTCTAGGCCCATTTAAAACATGCTGAATCCTTTCCAGCCCCTGCTGTCCCCACAGGGTGCTAAGGACATGGTATAGGCAGTTTCTGCACAAGTCTAGGTAGAAATAACCCAGAGGGTCCCTCCCTGGACTGAGCTCAGCCCCATTAGGACCAGCCTGCGCCTCACCATCCCACCCTGCAAACAAATAACTGGCCCCAAGTTTCCTCAGCATCTTTCCAAAGTAGGGCAGGCTGAGGAGTCAGTAGACTCCCCCCAACTTACTCTGGAGGAGGGCACTGCAGGAAACCCCCTTGGACTGGCTGCTTCCGTATTATCTATGTTCCCATAGGCTCCTGCCTTCTCCTGGTCTCAGACTGCAAGAGCATTAGCATAGACAAGCGTCTTATACTTAAGGAAAGCAGGAACAGCTGCCTAAAATACGGGGGTTAAGCAGACGTTATCCCCTAGGCATGGCTGCTGGGACCAGCCCTTCAGAAATACAGGACAGCGGCTGCAGTGGTGCCCAGGAGCAGCTCTAGAGGAAGCACTCCAGCCTGGCCAGACCCCAGCCCCATCTCAGTGGGTGGCGTGGGCAGTGGATGGGTTAGGTGAGACAGTGGGCACCTGGGGCCTGATGGTCTTCACATAGCAGCTTCAAGGACAGACTCAACTCAGGATCACCAATTTTACTATTGGTGGAGCATTTCCTAATGTGTGTTTTGCGGGATTATAGGAAGGGTCAAATGCCAAACATCTGGCAAGCACTAGGAGATTCCAGGAGAAACAGGCTTCTCCGTTGAGTGACTCCCCAGCCTTAACAGGTCTCTCCCTGACAGGTCTTGGGGTGCAGCATTTCCCAAACATCCATGCCCATCTTTACTGGCAGAGCACCTTGTAGGCTCCACCCAGAGGTGGGTTGCTCTAAGACCCAGCTTCTCAGACAGGCTCCCCTGGGCCCTGTGGAGCAGACCACCATGCCTGCATGCCTGCTTGACTGCTCAGATGCAGCAAGATCAGCTGTAACCCCACCTGGGCTTGGCACTGTTCCCTCAAGTTTGGGTCCCAGCATGTGGCAGGTGAGCCGAGTGTATTTTGTCATATAAGCAGCAGGACAGAGGCCTAGGGAACAATGCCATCTCCCTCCACCTCCATGGCCTACACACCTGGCCACAGGTGCACTGGGGCAGCCACCCATCCAGGTGAGCACCACACACAAGCCAGCACCAACCAGTGAACCACCATATGCTATGCTGGGAGCTGAAGAGAATTTCCCTCTACTTTTTAACACCATTATGTGGGGCAGGGGTAGGGTGGGCTATGTGTATACCAAACTCTCAGGATACTTTGTGCTCACTGCATCCTGCACCCCAAGGTTGGGCTCAGAAGGTATCACCAGCTCTGAAATCTCAAACACTAATAAACTCAAATCTTTGACCAATTCCATTCCCGATCCGACACGCTACCCAAATGGAGGGACTGCATGATGGGGCACTGGGAAACCTTGTTGAGAGAGACAGATAAAGGAGAAAATGGTTTTAAGTGATGCCAACATTTTTTAAACTCATATTATGTCACTTCCTTCAAACTGTGACAAACTAACCCAAACAAGTGGCCACAGTGCAGCTCAAAGGGGACTGAGCTCAGGCACATTCCCCCATCAAAACCAGTTCCCGGCAGGGCTCGCACTACCATGGCATCAGGGTGTCAGCAGTCTTCTCTGAAAACCTAATGAGCTGGGAAGAAAGACCCTTGTGCTGGGCTCCCCACTTCAATACTGGCAAAGGGTCAACTCTGGAGCCAGCACCCCAGGCCAGGCCCAGTGCCAGCTCCTGTCCCCAGGGATGCGGCTCACATGGGTCTC